TGACACACACATCCACACACAGAGAATTTACAGGGTTCTCTGGCGTTAAGCCTTGGCTATTGCTGGAATAATGCTAATTGTGAGGTCCTTGATGCTCTCTGAGCTTGGCTGTTTTCTTGCAGATGTTTCATTATTCAATTAGGTAACATCTCACACTGATGATGTTGCCTAGTTTGGTCATGAAACGTCTGCAAGTCAACCACCAAGAACACCATAGTCCGTCCCCCCTCCTCCTCCTCCTCCCAACCCCTCCCCTCCCCTCCCCTTCTACTACTGATGATGTTCCCTAGTTGGGCCATGAAATGTCTACAAGAAACCACCCAGCTCAGAGAGCACCAAAGACCCCACAGTTCAACCTTGGACTACAATATTATCTTCCGTAATGCTAATTATTGTACTGCAGAGCTGGTCCTTTAAAACGTCCTTTTTTTGGGGGGGGGGAATCTGATTTTATGGTGACCCGAGTTCTTGGTGGATGATTAGCTTCTTCCCTCAGGTAAGAGCTTTGAGCTGATCCCTTTGCTGTTTGCCCTCTCTCTCTCTCCCCTCCCTCCCCCAGTTCTCGCCCATCCGAATAAACAAATGCAAAACAAGCAAAAGAAAATGCTGTGCAAATATTCCTGCCAGATTTAAAGCAAATAAACCTAAGCCCTCCCTGTGAAGTTCTCTCTGTGTGTGTTTTTTTAAGCGAGCACCATACATCATAAATGATAATTGCAAAACCAAATGAAATGCTTATTAACACCACCTCAACTCAGCGGAACAGCTGTACGTGTTTGTAATTCGTTGATGGGGAAAAAAAGTAGTTTGCAAGCAGCGTTAAGGAGTGGGGAAAAATGGTCCTAAGGGTAGATCTGCACTCCAAGGCTGGCAGCAGTGTTACGTATGGATTAAAATTAGACCTTCAGACGAGGAGCATCTTTGAAGAGACCAGGGCGAGCAGAAACCTGAAGGGCTGACCCAGCCAAGATAGTAAGGTCGTATTTGACTAACAAGGACTATATGGCTCCCCCTTCAAACAAGTAATGTCATTTCTAGAGACTGACGCTAGTTTAGAAATCAACAAAGCCAGTTATTTATATATGAAGAGCTTGGTCAGAATTTCTCAAAAGTGCTCTGGAATTCAAAAATCATCTCTTTCAACCCCAAAGAACCAAACTAATCATGTTGGATGAAACCATACTTCCATCTTGGTTACCCCGTGGACTCCCTGGCTGTGTGTTTGCGGTAGATGTTCTCTCTCTCTCTTGAGAATTCATTTCCACAGGCATTCATGCTTTCAGGCCAATGCTTACTCCTTCCTTGCTTTACTAAATTTAATTCATGAACTATACTGTTCTCGGATCCAGACAAAAACTAAAGTTGATTTGATGTATTAAAAAATCATTTCTCTCCCCCACTGTTTTTCAGTATTGGCAACTTTAAGATGTGAGGCCTGGCTGGGAAATTCTGAACTGAAGTCCACACATCTTAAAGTTCCTAAGGTTGATAAAGAGATTTAAAGATGTAAAAACCATACTAATATCCTGCCGAAAAAGAGATTTCTGTTTCTCTGACACTATCCTCCTATCACTGATTTCTACAACGAATCATACTTCATTGGCCTTCATTGAAATAACTCAATATTAATACATGCAACTACTTAAATGTGAATGATCAGGACAGAAAAGCAAAGTCTAACACTCAAGGAAAGAGTTTTGCCCATACCATATTAATGATTTGACCCCCCAAAACAATAATGCTCATAACCAAATATCAAACTTACACCCCAGTCACCTGTATTTGAAAAGAGACTCTCAAGAACTCGGCAATCCGACAGGATGGGGTACACAAGACAAAGGACTGATGGATTTGTTCTGGTCTAGTTTGGAGATCTTTGAACTGTCCCCTTTTCTTTGGAGTGGCTGTGCTGAGATTGATGCTTGGTTAATGTGACTTTACAGCCCACTTCACATATCCTGCTAATCCTTCATTTCGTAAATCTCATAAACCATCCTTAGTTAGATCAAGGTTTCTCAGTCTTGGCAGCTTTAAACTGGGAGTTGAAGTTCACTCAGCTTAAAGTCACCAAAGTTGAGAAACGCTGAGTTAACAATGATTTGTTTGAACCACAGTTTGTTCAACAACCCACTGCTTGCCATGTTCCTATCACACACTGAGCCGAAAAGCCAGATTATGCCTTAGCCCAGTGGTCTCCAACCTTGGCAACTTTAAGACTTGTGGACTTCAACTCCCAGAATTCCTCAGCCAGCAAAGCTTGAGGTCCACAAGTCTTAAAGTTGCCAAGATTGGAGAGCCCTGCCTTAGCCTATTGCGCAAAACCTGTAGATTTACACCCAAAGCTCATGGTGGCAAAACTGTCAGGTGCAAAGAATTGGGGACATATGTTAAATGGCAGTTGGATTTATTGCTCAAGCTTATACACAAGAATCTAGCCAACTCAAATTCAACCCTAAACTGGCATCAGATACAAGGATCAACGGAATTGAAGAAGGGAGGGACTTGCATCATTTGTGGCGACGTAAGGACTCCAGGCTGATGACTTGCTTAACTCCATCCCTCCCAGCTCTGACTGTTCTTCTCCTATGAAAATTGATCTTTCTCCACTCTGTGTGCACTAAAAGATGAGCGAGTGAGACCTAAATATTGTAGCAAGCAGCTACTATCCAGCGAGTGTGAAAAATGCTGTCCAGGCTGATTAAAGGGAGGGAAAATGCTCCTTAACGCTCCACTAATTGCCTGCTGTCCTGTGTCTATTTTCTTCCACCAAGCAATGGTGCCAAAGCCCAGCCAGAAAATAAGCTGTTCTTTCACCACCAAAATGGTACTGATGGCTTTGATATGAATAAAACATGCCACATGCAAGATTAATGCAAAAATGGAGTTGCTGGTGTCATCAGCAGAAAGCAGGGTTTCAGAGCCCCCCCCCCATGCATTTCTTGCTAAGAGGGGCTTCCGTTGCCATGCCTGAAGTCTCAACAAGGCTCAGTGGGCAGGGGTGAAAGAGGAATTTTGCTTCTTCATCCCATAAAGTCTTTTGGTCTGATTTATTTGTATCCCACCTTTATTATTTTTACAAATAACTCTAGGTGGTGAACATATTTATCTTCCTCCTTTTATTTTCTCCCACTCCCACCTTTGCGTGTGAGGTGGGTTTAGGGCTGAGAGGGAGTGACTGGCCCAAAGTCACCCAGTCGGCTTTCATACCTAAGGCGGGACTTGAACTCATATTGTCCTGCTTTGTAGCCTGGTGTGTCTTAACTGCTAGGCCAAACTGATTATCCAGTCATGTTGATACATTAAATTGAGCCATATTCTGCTTTTCAAAATCAGGATTTTTTTTCTTCTGTAACACAAGGGAGGAAGCAGGTGGGGAATGGAAGACATCAATGGGGCAAAGGGAATCCCTGGGGGGGGGTGCAGGTACATAATGATGTCACCATATAAACATTACAACGTACATGAGGTAATAGTGGCTTGTGTCTGAAATTGCAAGCCAGACCTCCAAGTCAAACGTTTAGGATTCTGCAGTGTTGCTTTGCGTGGCCCAAGAAAATTGGGCCACGCATGTTGAGCCTTATCTTGGTTCTCCTTGAAAACGGTGACCTATAAAATTGAAGTCAAGTTCTGCTAAACCCTGGACTTGAATCTCTCCCACTCCTTGTGGGATATACCAGCAAATTATTGCTCTCAGCTGCACTTAACTTCACTGGGTGATGATTATCGGGATAAAATTAGAACCCGTGTACCATCTTGAGGATTAGGAGCATCTAAATCTAGTTCATAAATAGGATGAGCACATACCTCTGGGGGTGTTTTCAAGCCATGCCTTTGGAAAGAAAAATAACCACCCATTCAAAAATAATCTACTAATTCCTGTTTGCTTTTCCAGATCCTCCAAGCAGCTCATTCACGGCTGCTTCTCCTTTGAGCAAATACCTACCCAGATATTTTGCCTGCTCAACAAGCAGAACTGGGATTAATTATTCAACAAAGGTTCCTGTCCGTTCTGGGTTAAATCAAGACTACTAAATGGTTTCTGAATTCTCCAGCCAACTGGGTGTGAATATCACTAAGAAGAGCGTGGATCTTAGCCCTCTGCAGAGGGAATACGAGGGGACAGCAGAGGTGGGGAGTTAAACAAAAGGAACTCAAGACAATGCATTCAGGAATCAAAAGACTTTTTTCTGAAGGAAGCCCCATGTTCAAAATCTGCTTCTTCCCATTAATGAATACCTTTCATGTCAATCCAACATCACACAATCTCCATCCATCAAGTGCGTTGGCAGAGATGCCCCTTTCTTGAACTTCAGTGAATCTATATCAAATTAATTTGGGGAAAGATACAAGCTGCTCCCCTCCCATCAGTATCGTTGGCATCTTATCAAAACACTCTTGAAAAAAAAAAGGACTTGGTTCCAAATTGGCTTCCTGTTGCACAACAGAGCCGGTTTTAACAAGATGCCAACTGTCTCACGGAAGAGGATCTTCTCTGGTTGCCCTTCAAATAAAGATGCAACAGTCCCATTTCCTCAAAGGGCCCCCAAGATTATGTCCCTCTCTTCTTGCAGATTTTCCCAATCTCCGTTCCCCCAAACCTCCTTCGCAACACAAAATAGAACAGCCCTGCTTAGGCCAATGTTTTGGGATCATCTCCCATAATCCCCAACCAGCATGGCCTCATGCCATCTGGGAATTATGGAGGTGGTGGGATTATAGCTGTTCCTCTAGTCCAAAGTAAGCCCCCATCATGGAAATCCTGCAGTTGGGTTGGGTAGGATGATGGAATTCCTTTCTTCCTACTACCCTGAAGGCACTGTCCATTGCCCCTGCCAATGCTGTAGGGCAGGGGTCCTCAAACATGGCAGCTTTAAGACTTGTGGACTTCAACTACCAGAATTCTCCAGCCAGCTTCTGGTAGTTGAAGTCCACAAGTCTTAAAGCTGCCATGTTTGAGGACCTCTGCTGTAGGGTCTACAGAGGAGTAAGATCTTACTCACCACGAGGGACAGGGGCCTTTTCCAAGAGACCACACCAATCAGTCCGGACAGCAGCACCTGAAATTAAACCAGAGAGGTAAAAAGAAGACCAGTTCAGAATTATGGATTTCTCAAAGCCAAGAGAAGAAGACAACTTGAGTCTAACTGTGTCAAAATCTGCCTGGCAATTTTTCATACACTTTCTTCTCTCCTCCCCCCCACCCCCACCCCAAAAAAAAAAGCTTCTGGCTTCATTTTTTTTTAAAGTCTATTTTCAGGTTGTTTCAAAAGTTCTTCCAAATTTCTCTAGGTTGTGCTTTTGAGTTGCCTTTCCCATTAGACCTGCTGGAACGCTGTTGTTTTCACAGATCAATCTTTCCATTGTTCTCCCCGGCTGCTTCCCAATCCGGAAAAAAAAAACCCTCCCCTCCCCAGTGGTGAAATCCAATTTTTTTTACAACTGGTTCTGTTGCGTGGCTTGGTGGGCGTGGCAGGGAAAGGATACTGCAAAATCCCCATTCCCTCCCCACTCCTGGGGGAAGAATATTGCAAAATCTCCATTCCCACCCCACTCTGGGACCAGCCAGAGGTGGTATTTGCCAGTTCGGAGAACTGCTCAAAATTTCCACTACTGGTTCTCCAGAACCTGTCAGAATCTGCTGGATTTCACCCCTGCCCCTCCCCCAATCTCTTGCCTTGGAGTTGAATGACAGGCAGGGAAGCCACAGACCTCTGGAGAAAGAATTATATCATGAAAGAGAGGACTTCCCAACGCATCCTTGATTCCCCTGTCAAAATTACATTCTAGAACAGGGGTCTCCAACCTTGGCAACTTTAAGACTCGTGGACTTCAACTCCCAGTTGAACTCCCAGCTTTGCTGGCTGAGGAACTCTGGGAGTTGAAGCCCACAAGTCTTAAAGTTGCCAAGGTTGGAGACCCCTGTCCTAGAACATTGCATTCCAACCTGGAGAATGGCACCAATTTTTTGTCTCCTCTGAAACTCATAAAAACACAACTGATGCCCCCGCTGAGTTGGACGTACCTCATCTCACCCAACAGTTCTCACCCTAGCCCACCTCTACTCAATGAAGCCCACCAGTCTACCGAGAGATGGCCTTCAATGGCTGAAATTTTTGAGGTTGCAATCCCAACCATAAAGCAGGCACAAGATTTGGGAAAAACTTCTTTGTCTTATATTTTAAAAAGCTAATTGTCCACGATATTCTAAACTTCTCTCCTTTGGCATATTAACTTTTCAAAAAACGGAAGAATTGGTTGCAGGCCATGTGAGATGTCCCAGGGTTTTGTCACCACTGCAAAATTCATGGCCACCTCAACAAATCCATCATCAACACGAACGCCAGTTTCCCTTCTCTTCCTTCTCCGAGTATTTTTTCCCCCCACAGCTCACTCAAAACATTTCCCTGCACCAAGTATTTGTTTTTACAGAACATTAATTCTATTATGCACCCATCAAGTTTAATGAAAAAGTTATCCGGGTGTAATTATGCAAATTTATTTCCAAAAGTAAATGAATTCAAAGTGTAGAGAGCCGCCGTGTAAATTAGCCCAAAAGCGAACGCGTCGGTGTGTTTGTGTGTCTGTTCTTGATCCCAGCGCAGATGTCAAACATTAATAGGCAAAGCTTGAGGGATCTCCATCGCACTGCGGCTTGGGTTAATCAAGATCACCCGAATGGTGCACCCCAGGGCCATCATGTGTTGCTGAACTGTAATTGCCAGCGGTGTTCCCCAAAACGTCGGGAGATCTGGAATGGCAAAGGTCCCTGCTTAACTCTGCTTTATAAGACGACAGCACTGAAGGATTAGATTCGAGTCGTTCTTAAGGTCTTGCAATCCAAATAGAAAAGAACTAGAGTAAAACGCCCCGTTCTTTCCCAGGGCAAAAGCTTTTTTGCTTCAAAATGGCCTTTTTCCTGCCTGATGGAAATTGCCAAAACTTGTTTTGAAGCAAGAGCTGTGAACAGTGATCCAACGGAAGAGTATTTCCTTTTAAAAATAGTTTTTATTAAAAGCTTTTACACATAGACTCCAAGTAAATGGAGATTTAGTAAATGGCAAGAATGCAGGAGGAGGATAGGGTTGTGGAAGGGGACCTTGGAGGTCTTCTAGTCTGACCCCTGCTCAAGCAGAAGGCCCTATGTATCTTTTCTTTTATGTACACAGAGAGCGTACACACCAAGACAAATTCCTTGTGTGTCCAATCACACTTGGCCAATAAAGAATGCTATGCTATGCTATTGATCTCTTCTCTTCTTCTCTTCTCTTCTCTTTTCTCTTCTCTTCTCCTCCTCCCCTCCCCTCCTGTTATTCTATTCTCCTCTCCTCTATGTTATGCTATGCTATGCTATGCTATGCTATTGATCTCTTTTCTCTTCTTCTCTTCTCTTCTCTTCTCTTCTCTTCTCTTCTCTTCTCTTCTCTTCTCTTCTCTTCTCCTCTCCTCCTCCCCTCCCCTCCTGTTATTCTATTCTCCTCTCCTCTATGTTATGTTATGCTATGCTATGCTATGCTATGCTATGCTATGCTATGCTATGCTATGCTATGCTATGCTATGCTATGCTATGCTATGCTATGCTATGCTATGCTTAATCATCATTATGAATCCATCATGGCTAAGAAGACTCCTTGGGATTCAGTGCTGGGGTTCAAGATAGCTGCAGGGGGAGCCCAAAAGTTCTGGCTCTAGAACTTTGTGGAGAAATGGAGAAGGAGTGAATAGACCTGCCCGATGTCTATGGAGATTCTCAGTCATCCAGGTCATTTCAGATCCATGCAATGCATCACATTCCCTGCGTACGATTACTCATGCCATCTTGTGACCCCGCAATAAACTTAACATCCCTTCAATCTGCTTGTTAATAATCCCTGGGTGAAACCTGAAAATAGTAATCAAGCTTCATCAGCCGATACAGGAACCCACACAAATGTCAGCTTTCCTTCGGCATTCTTTAATTAAACTCGGAGGTGCCAAGAAACGTTTCCACCTAACCCAAGCTGATAAATATAGACCATTGTTCCTCCATGCCAAGGAATCGGGCTTTAAATAAACCTCCTTCTCCAAAAAGGTTTTGTCCAGGTGCTCTTGGGAAACCCATTGTGTGATTTGTGGGAGGATCTGGGGGCTACTTGCTGTCTTTCATGGCTGGGGGGGGGGGTGTCACGCACTAACGGTGTCAGGATAAAAGGCAGCCTGTGAAGAAAACAGAGCCATCCGTGGTCAGCGTCTCATAAATTATACAGACTGAGGTTGAGTTCCTGGAACTGGTGGAGGGTGAAAGATTTATATGCAAAATCATAGATTGCATGTTTGCATAACAAACCTCGCTTCTGAAAGACCCACTGCCTGTGTTTGAACGTAGAATCATAGATCTGGAAGGCACCTCAGAGGTCTTCTAGTCCAACTCCCTGCTCAAGGCAGGAGATATTATACATCCCAGTCAGTGGTGAAATCCAATTTTTTTTTACTACCGGTTTTGTGGGTGTGGCTTGGTGAGCTTGATTCATTGTTCTCATGGGCGGAAAATGTCTCCTTATGTCTACGTTGGATCATCTTCCACCCATTACTTCTTGGCCTGCCCTCTGGTGCTTTGGAAAGTAAGTCAATCTGCATCACACACCCTAAGCTTGGTTTGTGTAACGCTTCATGATTTTGCTCCCACTACAGATTGCCATCTTCTTGAAGAAAAGGTAACTGCAGTGGTGGGTTGGGGTTTCCCCGATTCGGTTCTTTCCACAGATTTTGAGTCTCGCATCACCAACTTCACCCAGAAGGCAAGTCAGTGTGGTGACCTCATCATCAGATATCTGGCTAACCTCTTGCTTATCAGCTCTCCTAAAGCAGGGGTCTCCAACCTTGGCAACTTTAAGACTTGTGGACTTCAACTCCCAGAGTTCCTCAGCCAGCTTTGTTTTGCTGAGGAACTCTGAGAGTTGAAGTCCACAAGTCTTAAAGTTGCCAAGGTTGGAGACCCCTGCACTCAAGGAACCCTCTGGCTTGGCACAAGACCTTGAATGATCAGCTAATCCAAAGGTCTCCAACTTTGACACATGCTCCCAAGTTGTTTCTTCTCCCTGCTAATCCAACTATGTCCCTCAAAACCGGTCCTTCCTGACTGCCATCTGAGTTTAGGGACTTCCAGCTTTAGCCCAGAAATACCCATTCCATTCACCTCTCCAATATTTCTGCCAGGTTTCATTAAGCTAATGTTTGTTACACCATTAAACCAGGCGAATCCACAGGGGAAGGAAGGAAGGAAGGGAAAGCAGATGTAAACAAACAAACAAACAGCCAGGCTGAAAAGATTTAGGGAAAAGGTTTGACGTTCAGTCATTCTTAATTGTTCTAAAAATATGCACACAGGATGTAGTTAACCATATCAACCCAGCTTTCTTTGGAGTCTACTGTCTAATACACTTCCTCCTGCCTGGTCACATAAGTTTGCATCTCAAAGCAAAGACATCACTTTGGCTTCCGATTTGAACTGAAGTGATTCCAGCCACTGCAACCAGGAGATGCTCCAAGAATCATTTCACCAGAAGGACTGCCACAAATGAATTCCATTAGAAGTCCTTCCAACACACCGGTTTGTCTTTCTGGCTGGCCACCTGAGATGCTTCTTGAAGGGGGCTTTGAAAGGAAAGTCGACCAGCTGTAGTGATGGGAGATGCCAAACCAGAAGGTTCAGCTGCTGAGTTGGGGAGAAGTTATCTAGCGGAGTGCAAACAGAGGCCAAATCTTACTTTATCATGATTGCTTGCATTATTCTCCGATATTCTCCTTCTGGATATTTTGGACAATGTTGGGTGGCTCCAGGTTTTAACCAACGGCTGTCCAACCTTGGCAACTTTAAGACTTATGGACGTCAACTCCAATGCTGGCTGGGGGATTCTGGGAGTTGACATCCACAAGTCTTAAAGTTGCCAAGGTTGGACAGCCGTTGGTTAAAACCTGGAGCAACCCAACATTGTCCAAAATATCCAGAAGGCTGCAGATGGAAGGCTCATTAAGAAAATAATCAGATAGAACAGATAGCTAGATAAGGATTTTTGATGGG